TGCCGCGGGCTAGGCACCATAAAACCAGCTTCAGTCTGGGCTAGTACAAGCAGCCACACATACACATACACACGCATGCGTCGTCATATGCTTCGAAATATTCTCAAGCACGACGTTAAACCCAGTTCCACCACCTCACCACTTGTGAAGGATGGTCACAACCACTGCAATATATACGTTGGCGTGTATGCTGAAGATATATTTGAAGAAATAAATAACACCAAGAAAGATCCGAATTAGAACTGATCATCAGCAATGATATTTAACCCCGGCATATAATACGGGGAAACGAGTCAACTGCTTCTGTTCGTTCCCGGAATCATTTTGTTTCGGAGCATAACTAAAACTTCGTTCAATATTTTTCAACAAAACTTGGTATATATATATATATATCAAACAGAAACTTGAAATGGTGCCATTTTGCTATTTACAGATTTTGGGCATGTTTTCTCAGGATTTTACGGAAACAATTTGGACTTACCTTTAAAAGGGGTGAATTTTCGTTTCCCGGAGCGTAAATCAAAACTCGCTCATCTATCTACTTCATTAGTGCAGATATATGAGACAGATTCCAAACTTGTTGCCTTTGCTAGCGCAGCCTTTTAGCATTTTTCCCGGTTTCAAAGGAGATGATTTGGACTTAGTCTCAAATGAGAGGGCTTCTATTTCCGATTACAATTTCGAAAAACTTTTCAATATCTTTATACAAGATTTTGCAGATATATCAAACAGATCTTGAAGTGATGGCTTTGCTGTTTGCAGATTTTGGGGCATTTATGTGTTTTCATGATTTCCATGGAAACGATTTGGACTTTAAGTAACGCTGTCAGATGATTTGTTCCTTCATCTTCAGCTGACTATTGGTCTTATCTTTATGGGCGACTGACGGGATCGGATGGTTCATCCCGCTGACATGGTCGCCATGTAGCATCGTTCCATCCTCACCTAGATCGATGTTCATACCGTCAACCACTGGACTACCTGCTGTTCAGGCATATTTTTAACGCAGACCTCTAATTGATAAACCTGGAATAGTGCCGATAGCGTTGTTTATAAAAAAGCAAACATTTTGTGTAATAGGTTTTCATCGGACAATGAAGAGTTCACTGAGCATCTGTAAAGAGGATTTGACGTCTTCTCGACAGAAGCAGGAAATGGGTTCTTGGAAGATGTAATCCCATCCTTTAAGACTTTATCCAACAGCGAAATTCCGGAAATTCATGAAGATACAAACGGGTTCTTTGACTTCATTTACAAAGGATCAACGCACATAGAGAACGTTTAGAGCAGGTAATGGTTATTTCCATCAAAAGCTCTTTAGACTACCTCTAGCACTTACTATATGTTGTGTATATACATATGGCTTACATCGAAGATGAATTTGTTCACTAACTTGTGGAATAACTGCAAACCTTACTCATATATGAATAGCACGAGGATCATGCATCATTGCTGACGAAAAGCATGTGCAAATATCGCGCATGTGAACAGCTTGTGTTTTGGTGTAAAGTTTGTTAAGAATGGCTAATTTTCGCTGACTTCATCCTTTATCGAACTCCGCGAAACAATTCATCTTTTCAAAGTTACGAATTTGTTTTACGATACATCAGTTCATATGTAAACAGTACCTTTAAATAGTATGGAATATTTTGCAAAATCAATTTAGAACAGTTGCCTGAAGTAAGTGGCTACATTTGCACTAGTAAGTCTAAACTTTTGATGGGTAGTATATTATGTTGACCGTGCATCAAAAGAGACACCCGGTGTCAAGTGGCTGCTATAGCTTCGTTGGCAATTGACGTAAGCATCAATTTTTAAGTAACGTTTTCTCTCGAACCTGAGCATAATATTTAAACGCCGCAGTTTACGTACTTCGATAATATTGTCCATCACTCATGATATTATCTGCGGTTGAAGCTGGTCTACGATGGCCCGTGTTTCGTATAAAGTCACTCTCAGGAAGATGAGAATCCGGACCTGTAAATATTCTAGTCTTGATTCGACACCACCGTGGTTCATGTTATGAACGACGATGGGATATTATGACACGCAATCAACAAGGTCTCCCAGTCCTGACCAATTCGATCACCAAAGTCAACAAGCACGGGTTATCTTGGGTCAATACTTATCATGAATCTCCACGGGGTGATCCATTAAATTCTATGACACATCAAGACAATAATTCACGTAATTACCGTACTTGTAATTACCATATTGTTTCCTGAAGGACTTGTGATATCTGCATCGTATTTCGTAAGTTTCGAGATGGTTTTATTCCATTTTGGATGGACGCATTTACGACAAACGTATCCAGATCCCATCACAAACGACCTTCAAAATGTCTAGCGTCTATAATCTAAAAACTAAAATATTCCCAAAAACAGTAAACAACTTTTTGAGGCAAAAATAATTACCTAATAATTTCGTATATCTTATCGCTTACTTTATATACAACAGCAATATGCAAATCGACAGAAACGTGTTATTGCAATTAATTCATTCATTAACTGTATTAAATGCAAATATACAATTAAGTCAAAATCGAGCGCGGGAATGTTAGTTGGAGTGGGTCACGCAAGTTTACGTTGCAACGTTAAGGTTAAAACATGAACAATTGACGCCAGATATTCTCAGCACCACTCGATGGTGGATGGAAGGATATGTGGCAAGGTGAGAAGATCTTGGGTCAAGGTCATCGTGCAGGTTAACTTTACACGTTTCCAACTTATATGTTTCTAAAAAACGCATATCTCTTTAAAATATCAATTTTAATTGTAAAATATAGAAGTTGTGTCAATAAGGGTTGCACTTTTACCTCAATAAACCTGATTTTCAGATACACAACGTGACTTCACAGACGCCATGTTGATTGCCCAGAAAGAGGCAGAGGAGGAAGAGGATCCAGGAACTACTTGCACAGTTTACAAACACGCATCTCGGCCAGACAGTATTGGATGTTTTCGGAGGTAATCAAGGAATAAATGAAGCTTTCCAAAAGCATCGCAAGAAACTAGGAAGGTCGCTACTACTTGAAACAAATATCTTTGAAACATATCGGAAAATTGACTTGACACAAATGTAATAATGTTTGTCAATATAGAATTATTTATCTTCGCGTTCGAAAGTAGCTATAAACACAGATATTTAAATTGTGAATATTAAATTCCACATTTTATTCACATTTTATTGCCTTTTAAATGGAGGGGTAGACTAGTGGTTAACGCGTTTGCTCGTCACGCCGAAGATCCGGGGTTCGATTCCCTCATATGGGCACAGTGTGTGAAGCCAATTTCTGGTGCCCCACCGTGATATTTCAGGAACATTACTAAAAGCGGCGTAAAACGAAACTTACTCACCACAATTGTCTTTTAATCTGTACCGTAATTTACGTTATAAACTTTCACCCCGATAGCGGGATTGGACACGTCACGACAGACTCTGTATTGACACTCCTGTACCTTGCAGCCTACCCGGAAGTACAAGCGAAACTCCATGCGGAAGTTGACAGGGTGTTGGGTAAGAAAGCCTTTAGAATTCAAATCATTTCCTATCAGTGTCATTTTCACACTGGAGTTTGCTAAGTTTATCACAGGCAGTTAGACAGCATTTGCTGTCGAAAGTGCAAGATACTGTATTTACGCCACCGATCGATCCGAATTATGTAAACTGACGGGCTAAAGAAACGTTACCACTTTGAAATTGAAATTACCCCAAATTCAACTGCAACCACCATCACATGAAAAAACAGATCGCCCCAAACAATGCGTTTTCCACTTGGAAATAAGGCATGAAATGCCTTTTCACCATTTTGCCCAAATATTGTTTGCATGTTTTTTCACGCAAAGCGAAAATGAAATGCCAAACACATATAAAACTAATGCCAATGTGTTGTCAGACATTCATTCTATTTTAAAAATACAGCAAAAGAATGGCGCGATTAACTTTGCGACGAGAAATATTCTCGTTATGTCTACCATGATCCAAAAACATGATCCACAAGTTATCAGTTTCTGACATTCTGTTTTAATTAACTTTTTGGTAAATACCCTTGTAAATAATCGCCCACAATGCGTTTGTAATGAATCTATCTATGCTCAGATTTGGTCCACTAAGATTGACAATTATAACCAAAGAATAAACGACGACATTACTAAGATCTGTTCCCGAAGCAAACAAAACAAAATGAGTCAATAAAGTAAACTAAAAAAGAAACGAATAAAATGATTTAGAAAAACGCAGTTCATGAAACATCACTTCATGAAAGATGTAATGAAAAGAACCGAATAGAAACTTAGTATTGAGGTGTATATAACATCTTGTGTGAATATGCGTTGACGTGGTTGGTCCCGAAAACCGCTGCTTAGTGTTTTGTCTGAAATGATATTAATACTAAATGAAAGTAGCCCGAGGTACATTTTTTTTCAAAATGAAGATTGCCATGAAATTGGGACTTACCTAACTTGTATACGACGATTCATTCATTCACTCATTCAACGAGTCCGCCACTTCGTTTGAAAGCATAAACTGCCAGTAAGGATTGTTTCTGAAAAATCATCATACAGGTGAGCGGCGAGTGCCGATGCTGTCCGAACGACACAAGCTGCCGTACACCGAAGCCGTGCTCTATGAGAGTATGCGGAAAGGGGCAGTGGCGCCTCTGGGTCTCCCCCACTCAACCACTTGTGATACAACTGTCGGTAAGACGGGAGCAGTCTGTATGTTAGTCTTTGACGTAACGACTACGTTTAATATCAGTATTTAAACAGGTTAAGATTTGTCCTACAATGTGGGTCTGTATACATTGGCAGTAACATAGTACGGAATGGGCAAGGTGAGGCTGTTTAAAATATGTTCCTTTTAGGAGATAAGGGTGACCCACTGGTCTTCTGTAGTTAGAATTGCAAAAGAACAGAATTGCACAAATGAACTGTTCAGGATCCACAGATCGAAGGATCGAATCTCGGACTTGTCCGGAATATGATCACCTTCGACCTTGGTTTGCTGGTCCGAGACTTGCTGATTTCTGCAAGTTACATGTCTCACTTTGTACTTTAGTCTGCATTAAACTGAAACAATATTCCAAGATATGAACTCACTCCCTCACTCCCTCTCTCATCCACCAGCCCTAAACCCACCCACCAACCAAACCCTTCACTCAGTCACCCACACTGTTCAAATTTAGATTCAGCAGCGTCCTCAGGTACGTCCCGATTCCCCTGTTAACGGAGATTCTCATTAACGTGATATCTCATGAACTGTTTTTCAAACTGTACCCAATGTGACAGCCTACATTGGGTGATTACGCAGACACCAGTCGATTTGGGTGACCTTGACGTTATCTTTCAAGGTCACCACGACACTGACCGCTTTTCAAACTGTTGTTAACGCGATATTTCATGCACTGTTGTACCCAGTGCCTTCAAATTTGGTGACAGCCTACATTGGGGATTTCACAGACACCAGTTGATTTTCGGTGACCTTGACCTAATCTTCAAGGTCACCACGATACTTTGACCGCTTTTAAAGGCGATATCTCATAAAACATTGCAACCAATGTTTTCAAGTATGTTAACAGCCTACATTTGGTGATTATGCAGACACCAGTCATTTCAGGCATCTTGTATGTGACCCAAAATAAAAGTAGTGAATATAGATATTCCATTCTTTAGCGGCGGGGGACATTGCCATATCAGCGGCAAACACTTTTTATTTTTAATTTGTGTTTCTTTCCGACCTCCTCAGCTGGCTACGAGATTCCAAAAGGGACGATCGTGCTGGCCAACATCTTCGCTATCCACCATGATCCAAGACACTGGAAGGAACCGGAAGTGTTTAATCCCGAACGTTTCTTGACGATTCCGGAAGGTTTGCACCGACGTCTGAAAGTTGGATGCCTTTCTCTGTCGGCAAGAGGGCGTGTATGGCGGAAGCGTTGGCCAAACCGGAACTGCATGTTGTCTTGGCCTCGTTCATGAGGTGTTTTGAGATTCGACTGCCTGGCGGAGTGACTCCTGACCTTGAACCGGAAGGTGGAAGCATCAACTTCGTGCCTAAGCCCTATCAGGTTGTCGTCAAAAACAGATTTGCATGAGATGGGAAGATGTGACAATCCAGGCGATGTCCACGTGTACTTGGAGGACCAATTATTCACGAAATTGACTGAATTATACCTCTAGTATATACTCTCAGCTAAACTGGTAGAAAGTAATGCTAGACTCTATTGTTGACTTAAACATTTTTCTTAACATCCTTATCCGTCTGTAAATACATAAAATGTATGCTTTGCCATACCTAGCTATTAGGTTCATCTGTAACATCTAGCCATGTGATTCCATTGTCACTTCTTGCCATGTGGCTCTATCGTCACCTTCAGCCATGTGGCTCAATCGTCTCCTCTATCCATGTGGTTCTGTGTTCTCCTCCAGCCATGTGGCTCTATCGTCTCCTCCCGCCATGTGCCTCTATCGCCTCCTCCAGCCATGTGGTTCTGTGTTTTCCTCCAGCCATGTGGCTCTATCGTCTCCTCCAGCCACGTGGCTCTATCATCTCCTCTAGCCATGTGGTTCTGTGTTCTCCTCCAGCCATTTGGCTCTATCGTCTCCTCCAACCATGTAGTTATGTCGCCTCCTCCAGCCATCTGGCTCTATCGTCTCCTCCAGCCATGTGGCTCTATCGTCTCATCCAGCCATGTGGCTCTATCGTCTCCTCCAGCCATGTGGCTCTATCGTCTCCTCCAGCCACGTGGCTCTATCGTCTCCTCCAGCCATGTGGCTCTATCGTCTCCTCCAGCCACGTGGCTCTATCATCTCCTCTAGCCATGTGGTTCTGTGTTCTCCTCCAGCCATTTGGCTCTATCGTCTCCTCCAACCATGTAGTTATGTTGCCTCCTCCAGCCATCTGGCTCTATCGTCTCCTCCAGCCATGTGGCTCTATCGTCTCATCCAGCCATGTGGCTCTATCGTCTCCTCCAGCCATGTGGCTCTATCGTCTCCTCCAGCCACGTGGCTCTATCGTCTCCTCCAGCCATGTGGCTCTATCGTCTCCTCTAGCCACGTGGCTCTATCGTCTCCTCCAGCCATGTGGTTCTGTGTTCTCCTCTAGCCGTGTGGCTCTATCGTCTCCTCTAGCCATGTGGTTCTGTGTTCTCCTCAAGCCATGTGGCTTTATAGTCTCCTCTAGCCATGTGGTTCTGTTGTCTCCTCCAGCCACGTGGCTCTATCGTCTCCTCTAGCCACGTGGTTCTGTCATCTTCTCCAGCCATGTGGCTCTATCGTCTCTTTCAGCTTCTCCAACTCCTTATTCACATACAACAAACACTTACATAACATGGCATGCTGTACGGTGCACCATAGTTTATTCGTTTCAAACAGAATATAAATAAGTTTTACACAGTATGTACAAACTACATCCATCGAGCCTTAAGTCATAAGGCGCCGTCTCCTTACATCGCTGAAGCAGCTACGAACCCGCCATTTACATCTTGCATTGCTCGTGGCATATGCCCCCGATGACTCACGTATTCTAACGGCTCGCCAGCCTGGACATGTCCGTCCCACCCAACAGTGCCAGTCATCGGTCTGTAACATTACACGAGAATTAAACATTCAGTATGGAACACATACATATATACAGACAGTGTATATATCCGCTCTCATAGAAATCACATCATATAGCATCAAATCAAAAATGACCGCTGGTGCACCGCAGCTGAGAATGGCCTAATTCAAATTTCCCTCCCTTTTATACCTATCAGAGCGCCCTCATACTCATAGCATTACTTCCCTTTGTTGTATCTTCCGACGCTAGGAGAAAGAAATTTCATTCTAATTCGTACCTCAAACGAAAGAAATTATATTTCTCCAACTCCTTATTCACATACAACAAACACTTACATAACATGGCATGCTGTACGGTGCACCAACTGAGACATAAAGAACGGGCAGATTTACAATCCAAGCGAAAGAGACACTTTCAAACGCTTCTCAATATCATCTTTCACATAACCGTCTTTTGCATTTTCACTTTTCCACCTGCCATGACGCTTAAACATTCTATCTGGAATGCCATTGTTTGCGGCTGCAGTAGCTCCACCTGCTCTCAAACTGTGCAGACCAAACTTCGATATATCACTCACATGTGAACTAAACACCTCAATGAAAAGCTCTCTCAAACGGGAATAGGACATGGGCTTATTGTCAGCTCTCAAAATGTAACCATTTTCAGTCTTACTCATATTTCTGAATATAAATTCAGGATCTTTCACTTTGGTAAGTTTCAAATATCGTTCCAACCATGCTACAGGGCACATATTTGTACCTGTCCGGCCTATGATAATCCAAGCCCCATCTCTATAGACATCAGTTTTTGACTTCTGAATAAACATGGACACGTAAGCTTGACAAAATACTACATCACTCCGAGTTATCGCTAATAACTCCGATGATCTCATGAAACCTGAATAAGCTAACAGGCACATTACAACAGTTCTCATTTTGTACAATGAGCATTCCTCCGCATTGTCTGGTACAATCTTATTCAACAGCTCAACTGTTATAGGCTCTTTCTTACAAACAGGCTTGGCTAACTTCCTCTTAGCTGCTTCAAGTACGTTTTTTTACTAACGTACTCTCTGTGGGGCTTTCTAAACCAACTAAAACATGGGCATGTCTCAAGCTATAATAAGCTGTCTGAACAGGTGAGAAAGTCTCACTTTGCTGACACATTGCTAACAAATATAAAGAACAGTGCAAAGGTGATACTGGCATATCTGTTGACATACCCTGGGCCAAAGCCCATTTCTTCCATGCTTTAAAACCATAATCATACTTTTTATTTGTGGAGTTTGCTCTCGAGCAAGACAAATGCTCTGGAAGACGTCTTACGAGCTCCCTCATAGATGGAGGTAAAGTCAGTATCTCACTTCTATATACATGTTCAAACACACCTGCAACACGGAAACAACATCATCAGAATATCACACGTAAAGCCATCATGTTGAAGTTTAAATCGTTCACTCCAAACAACCCGCCAAACTGTCTGCTTGGTACATATGCCTCCTTACAAGTGGGAAGATACATCCAGCCTTTAACTTGAGGTATAAATACCTTATTAGGACACAATATAGGCCAGAAATTGGCTGAATACCATACAGGAATGACGATAGTTCCCTTAGCGTGACACTCCCTCATATGCCTGAGAACACGTGCGATCATAAACACAGGAGGCACTATCCAGTTATTGTCTTCACCCCAGGACATAGATAAAGCATCCACTCCGTCACTTCCTGGATTCCAAAATCTTGAGTTAAACCTTACAACCTTAGTATTGTAATATGACGCAAATCTGTCAACATCAAATGGGCCCCATTTGGCAGAGACGCGTTGAAACACGTAATCCTGGATACCCCAATCATCTGCATCGACTATCTTACTCAGATAATCAGCACGCTCATTTTCTAACCTTGGTATCCACTGCATGTCAACTCTGATATTATATTCATTGCACAGCTTGAAAATATCTAGAGCCAAAGCTTGAAGATCGACTTTCATGCTACCTTTCGACAAAATCGACTCTACATTTTGATTGTCAGTAAACCATTTTACTTTGTGCGACTCCAAAATGGAAACAAAACTTTTCATAACCAACAACACAGCCTTCAACTCTCTCCAAGTGGAACTCCGTGACGCTTCTAATGCTGACCACTGACCATGTGATATGGCTTGACCAACTTCTACACAGTACCCACCAAAACCGGAATTACTAGCATCACTGTAAACTACCCGTGTAGGAATACTTCCATAGCTTAGAGTACATTCACTGTGTCTGTCAATATGTGAAGCCCAAAATTGTAACTGATCTCTACTCAGGTACGATATCATTACAGTTTCTTTCCACGATGTAGCCTGGAGTGTCTGAATACTCAGAAACTTTGTCATTAGCTGAGACAAAGTACCAACAACCATCTTCATAGCAACTACTTGCCCAACAACCGAAGCTAAGCTCTTTACAGGGACTGGAACAGTAGAAGACAAAAGTTCTGCTATACTTTGCTTAAGCTTAGATATTTTCCGTTGAGGAATAGACAACTTCATTTGTCTTGTATCTATGATAAAACCTAACCATTCGATCTCTTGAACTGGCTTCCATAGGGACTTTTCTACTTTTGGTACAAAGCCTGCTTTTAACAAGTCTTGCTTGACAAGTTGGCCAACAGCTGCCGTTTCACATTCGGGAAAAACTTGAAAGGATCCCATCATCTAGAAAAGTAACAATCTTGTAACCTTGGAAACGCCAAAACTTTACCAACTGTCTGGTAACCTTAGTAAACACATAAGGAGCTGTACTCAAACCAAAAGGGAGGACAAGAAATTTAAAATACTTCTTGTCTTTTCCTGAACCCCATGCAAATCCTAGAAACTGCGTATGTTCTTGGTAAATATCAATATGGTGATATGCAGAATGGATGTCGAATTTCACTAGCCAATCATTCTTTTCTATGTACAACAATGCAGTTCTCCAGTCCTCATACTTAACTGAGGCTTTCCACAGATGTTTATTCACTCTAGACAAGTCTAAAATAAGACGCTTCTTACCAGAATGTTGTACAGCTACAGATAAAGGGTTAACCACGTAAGGTTTATCTGAACACTGAGCAATCAACCCTCTGCGCAACAAATCTTGAACAGCTGATGACACAAAGTCAGAATTCTCCTTAGCAGATCTATTGTTCCTTATATTCATTCTTTGTGGGGTAGAATAAAATGGTATTTTGTATCCGTATTCAATAATGTCTAGAACAAAATCAACAGCACATATTTCTTTCCAAAACGAAACATGATTTTTCAGTCTACCCTTTACAATTATATCTATCCCATCTTGTTCATATTCATAAAAGTCATTTGTAAGGCCAGGTGCAACAACGTTTACATTATCATCACGTAATGTATACTCAACTTCTGGTTCTGCTTCCTTGGAACGTATCCTACTCTCTGTCGAGCTTCCCGCGTTGCTGAGTTGTGTTGTTAAGTAAGGGACACTGACGTCTCCAGTGGTTGAAGTCGCCACACATGAAGCACGCTCCTGACCTTTGACCACGGCCACGAAAATTATTAGACTGGTCACCAGCATGAGAATCCGTTGAAGCTTGAGTGACTGTCGAGGAAGGACGCTGGATTGGCTTGTAAGGATGCAATCGTGCGGAACGAGATGCCCTTGTCTTGATTTTCTTAATCGCTTTGCTTTCCGCTCGGTTGATTCTTTTGTCGTCATCAGAATCTGACGCCAATTCATGAGCCACATAATTACGCACTGTTTCCCAGCCCCCCTCTGAGGAATCAGCTATTTTTATGTGTTTGTTTCTTGTCTGGAACCTGGAAACTTCCTGACTAATCAATTCCAAGGCGTAATCAGTCTTATCATACTGAATAGCAAAACGCAACTGTTCTAAGTTTTCCAGAGCTTCGGAATTAAAGGCAAACTGAATTTTGTTCCCATATTTTTTCCATTGATAGTCCCTCTCCGCTTTCAATTTATGTACTTCTTTGGATGTTTTATAAAACTCATCACGAAGACCTTCAATCTTCTCATCAACTGCCTTCCTAATTTCAGCTTGTGATTGATCCAACTTTTTCAATATGGCGTCTAACTTGTCGCTGTCAGTGTTGACTACCCTGGGGCTGTCCATAATCAAAAATGACCGCTGGTGCACCGCAGCTGAGAATGGCCTAATTCAAATTTCCCTCCCTTTTATACCTATCAGAGCGCCCTCATACTCATAGCATTACTTCCCTTTGTTGTATCTTCCGACGCTAGGAGAAAGAAATTTCATTCTAATTCGTACCTCAAACTCAAACCTATCATAAAGTAAATTATTTGGTAATTGTAACACACCTATTGTATACAATAATATTCATGATTGTGACTTGTAATAAAAACCGTTAACAGTCTATACATGTATGAGATTGTACTGAATTCAATTCATGCTATTTGCAAAGTGCTTTCATTTAGAAAATTGCCATATGATATTTGAAATTATATGTCTGTATTTGTTATCATTTCATATTCATATATTTCAGTATTCCTTTCATAAATGCATTAATAAAGAGGTACATAAAGTAACACATATGTGAGTACATTGCTTAGTTGGACACACATTTTAATAAAACATACATAAAATGCCAAGTATTAAACTAAAGGGGTATGTTTTGGGACAGTAGTAAAACATAACGTTCACAATTCCAGCGCTCAGTGTGTCAATTGTTGCGTTGTTCTGTGGACGGAGGGATGACAACGATTCCCCTCCTCTGTCTGATAATCCACGAACTACCACTTCTTTATAGCGCTCACACCTCTATTACTACAAACACGTTTCTGGTGATCTTCAGTGTGCGTTAAAACATAGGCTTTCTTTCAGTTCAATGTTGCAAAAAGATTTTATCAATTTGCAGTAGTTATATTTGGGGATTTTATTCGTCAAATATCTTATCTTTAACCATCAATTTTCACTCATTCAGAAAAAGAATTTAGCATCGGGGATAATTATAGCTGTCTTTAAGACTTTGTTTCTTGTGCTTTGTGTGTTGGAAATAAGACGTTTCCATCTATTTGATTTCTATATTAGAAATTAAAGTAGGAACTGTGCTTTAGTTGATTTCATTGGTGGTTTGTTTTAGGTTTGTTGGTTTTGGTTGTTTTTATTTGTGGTTGAATTGTGGTTATATCGGAGGTTAAATTGTGGGGTTTCTTTTTGGGTTTTTTTTGTGTTGATTTATATTGTTTGGATTATTTGTATTGTTGTTGATGTCTGTGGTTTGTTTGTCTGGATTTTTGGTGTGTGTTGTTTTTTAGTACCTTTTTACGGGGGCATGGGACGATGTGTTTGAGGGTTCTTTTCATAAAAAAGAATTGGTCTAGATGAGATTGATTTAGCAACGATCGACGTGACTGTGATTTAACCACAGGGTTACCTACTGTCTTGTACATTGAAATGACTGTTTCATACTCTTTCTGACAGAATGTAGGGATGGGATTGAATGGAATTGCGAAACTACCACTGTAGCAGATAAGCAATTCCTTTTAGTTGTATGCCGCTTTTACCAAAATTTCAAAAACCTCATCGCGGGGGACACTAGAAATGGGCTTCACACATTGTGAATCAAAACCAGGAATTCATCTTCATTTGTCACATGTGTTTCTTGAATTAAAGTAAAAACTATTATCGTAAATAGCATTAATAACAAATGGAATTTATAATTAGCAAAGCGTCGAACACAAATGGTCCCCAAATCCTTGAATTAGCATTTAAGAGCATGCAGTTTGAAAAACTGTTCTGGGTGGCATTCCTCCAAACCCCTGTATAGTAGGTAGAGGTTCAGGCGCTTGGTTTCTCTAAGACTTAAAAGAAGTCTAGATGTACACTTGGAATATTCTCATCACTGACCAGGGCCATGTTACAGAAGCTACCAAAGGCAAATGTGCATTCGAGTGGTTTCAACAGTATTCCTGTTGTACGTCGGCATGTCAACTAAACATGTGGTGCAAGGCCGAAATGAAAATAGTCGCTACACCTTTGCCACTTTAGTAAATCCACGAGCACGGAGTTGGTCAACAAACCTGGAAACATAAAACTGGGTCGAAACGAGATTCGAACCCTGACAAATTACACGCAAAACTCAGGTTTATACTGTTATTTTTATCTTCACTAATCTTATATACCTGAATTATGTGATATACCTTCATCGATGTGGCATGACAACACAGACTGTTGCAAGGAGTTTATATGTGTTTTAACTGTTTAAAACTGTCATGACTCACACGGCGCTTCATTGAAATTCTGCCCCGTGTGACAAAAAGATGCAGCAGCAATGCGGTTGAAATGTTAAAAAAACATATCCTATCTTGAAGCCAAAAGGTTATTTACAAACGAAGTCCCAAATCCGAATAACATTACATATTCGGCAACAGTCACTCACTCTGTGGCAACGTCCTCTGCTGCTTTTCAGACAGACTTGACATGGGTCCGGTCTAGAAAACCTACTGCTTCAGGCTCAGTTACGACACCTACTTCAACAGTCACGCAGACTATGTCTGCTTCTCAGACTGAGAATCAGCCCGAGATACAGTCGAAACAGCTAACAAACAGTCCGCCTCAGTCAGTTCATCAAAAACGAAAGGAAAAATATTAAACAGAAAACAGACACTTTCGGTCCCTTTACATTCAGAGGTTCCTCAAGAGAACCCCTTTGGACCTACTGACGTGGAAGTTACACTGTCCTCACAGGACAAGCCGAGGAATAGCTGATCTTCACATTCACGAGAGAGATCGGCAATTGAGCCACCATAACTCAATTGGCAAATATGATTCAGTGGAATGGCATTGAAGAATACCTTCAATGAAATACAATTACTCATACAACATCTTCAGCCGTCAGCATTTTGTCTCCAAGAGACATTTCCTAAACCTACAGACAACTTTACTTTAAGATATTTCAGTGATTTTCATTCATGTTCTCCTCCAGGAGATAAAACAACTGGAGGTGCTTCTATTTTGGTACGGCAGGGTATCATACAGAGCCCTGTCTCTCTTAATACCAACCTTCAAACTGTAGCTGTTCGTCTGACTCTGCACACTGCATCTTCTGGATATCCGACTGCCGGATCTGCAAAATCTGTATGATCAGCTTCTAAGGCCATGTCTCATGATGGACGATCTGAACGGACACAACCCGCTTTGAGGAAGTGTCCATACTCACAATAACGGTAAAATCCTTGAGGAAATAATTTTTGATAATAATTTATGTATGTTTAATGATGATTCAGCCATTTATTTACATCCAGCTACGGGAACATATTCTTCCCTGATCTGTCACTTGCTGACCCCATCATGTATATAATGAATTTGAATGGATGGTCCATGATGACCTGTGTGGGAGTGATCACTTCCCCGCCATTCTCAAAACAATCAACCCTGGTGACGATCCACCTTTCTCAAGAAGGAACTTCGCCATGGCTGTCTGGTCATTATATGAGCCACTACGTGTCGATCACATAAAACGTGATGCATTTGCGAACAGTGCAGATCCTATACAGTTGTTTTCAGATATACTCAATGATATTGCTGACCAAACTATACCCTAGACCTCTGCAGTTCAACATATTCGTAAACCATGGTTTGATAATGAATGTAAACAGGCCAGAAAAGAGCAGGAAGAAAGCTGAAAGATAGTTTCGCTGACATTCTACTGTTCATACTTTAGATAAAGTTAAAAGTTTAAATGCCAAGGCTCGACGCACATTTAAACAGAATAAGCGCCAGTCTTGGAGGAAATGTGTTTCCCAAAGGTTCAAACACACCCATGCCAAAGGTGTGGAACATGATCCAAAGAATATAAGGCAAATGTTCCAGATCTACTGTTCATCATCTAAGGACGGTGATAATTTATTAACTAATAATACTGACATTGTCAATAAGCTTGGTGAAACTCTCGCCAAGCATTCAAATTCGTCCAGTTATGTCCCTGGGTTTCAGAAACATCAGAAACAACAGAAGAAGAAAAGAATTAATTTTAACTCAGACAATGGTGAGGATTATAACGAATAATTGTCACTACATGAGCTACATACCGCCTTTCAGCAAGCTTATACACTATCAGCTCTTGACGGATTTACCTGAAACACTTCTAAATATTTTAAGGAAATATGGACTTCAGGGAATTTCCCAACTTCATGGCATAATGCCATTGTAGTCCCTATTCCAAAGACTGGCCGGGATCATAATGATCCATCTAATTACAGACCCATATCTCTAACCAGCTGTGTCTGTAAAACCATGGAACGAATGGTAAATAATAGATTAACTTGGTATCTTGAAACCAATTACCTTATTTTCAATGTAGTTTTAGGAAAATTCGAAGTACCATTGGTCATTTGGTAAAATTGCTTGAGTAACTAGACAAAATGCAGCATCTATATTCTTTGATCTCCAGACAGCATACGATACCACCTGGAAGCATGGCATTTTAAAGGGTTTACATTACTTTGGTTTGAGGGGTCATTTTACCTCTTTTCTGTATCACAGTTTTAACAAACAGGCAATTTCAAGTCCGAGCTGGTCAATCCTGTCTGATCATTACAGTCAGGATCAGGGTGTTCCACAAGGCAGTATCTTTTCTGACACATTGTTTAGTTTATAAGATCAACAGTTTCTCAAAGGTTTCAAATGATTCAATTGATGGATCACTTTTGTAGATGATTTTAATATTTCTTGTCGCGGTAAAACTATGCATGCTATGGAAAGGTAACTGCAGTTGTGTTTAAACAAAAAAGATAAATGGTGTCTTGAAGCTGCTATACATTTTCTCAATCCAAAACTATTTGTATACATTTCTGCCGTAAATACAAACCGCATAAAGACCCTGAACTATTTCTACTCAAAGTTGTAAAGGAGGCCAAGTTTTAACTTTTCTTCCGCATAGTAAATACCTAACAAATAAATGCCCGAAGGCACTCGATTTGTTGAAAGTCGTTTGAATTCAAAGTGGGAGGGGACCAAGCTGCCGCCCTTCATTTATACAGATCACTCATCCGTTCAAACTAGATTACGGCTCCATCGTATATGGAGGAGCCTGCAAAAGCAACCTAAAACTATTAGACTCCATCCACCACCAAGGTCTAATAAGTTGTTTTGGGTCTTTAGAACTTCTGTTGACAGCCTCTACGTCGATGAGCTATCTCTTACCCAACGCCGTATAAACTTATGCTTACAATATGTCACCAAACTATATTCTAACGAGTGTAACCCTGCATTTAACTTTGTTTTTGTACTCCTAT